TGTATTAAATGGTTTAATTTCGCATTTCATTAATCAAGGAAAACAATTATTCTGTTTATTTGTTGATTTTAGCAAAGCATTCGATTATGTAGTCAGAGAAAATATGTGGTATAAGCTTATAAAACTAGGATTACGTGGTAACATTTTGAATATTATTCAGTCAATGTATGAAAATGTGAAATCAAGGGTTAAATATTTAAACAAATTAAGTGTTGAATTCACATGTGCTCTTGGTGTAAGACAAGAAGAATGTTTATCACCTTTCCTTTTTTCTATGTTGTTAAATGACATTGAAGATAGTTTTATACATAGTGATGTTGAAGGCCTTGATATAAGCATGTTTAAATTATTTTTGCTCTTATATGCTGATGATATTGTTATTTTTGCTAACTCAGCAGTTGAATTACAGACTTGTATCAATTTATTAAGTGATTATTGTGACACTTGGAAGTTAAAAGTTAATGTAGAGAAAACAAAAATAATGATTTTCAAGAAAGGTGGAAAACTTCCTGATAACCTTATGTTTTATTATAATGAAAATTTAATTGAAGTTGTGAATAAGTTTACATATCTAGGTATTGTTTTTACGTGTGGCGGTTCTTTTACTACTGCACAAACTAAATTATCCGATCAGGCCCAGAAAGCCATTTTTAAATTAAATAAATATTTATATAAGTTTACATACATTAAACCTAGACATAAGTTAGTGTTATTTGATGTTTTAATTGCACCTATATTAAATTATGGTAGTGAAGTTATGGGTTTTAGTTTAAGCCAGTCAATTGAAAGAACACATTTGCAGTTTTGTAAACAAATTTTAGGTGTTAAGAAAACAACCCAAAATGACTTTATTTACGGTGAACTTGGAAGAATATATTTTCAGTGTAGACATTTGTTTAATATCATTAAATACTGGATAAAAATTTTAAGAAGTAACGAGAATAGGTACATTTATAAGATATATCAATTGCTTAAGAACGATTTTGAAAATAATCCAACTAAAGTTAATTGGTGTTCACGATTGAAAAATGTATTATGTGTTTTAGGTTTTTATGAAGTTTGGTTACAGCAAAATGTAGGAAATGCAGACATATTTCTAGAATTAGTAAAACAAAGATTGAAAGATAATTTTGTTCAAAACTGGCATGATAGGATACAAAGTTCACCACGAGCATTATTTTATAGAAATATAGCAGTTTTCAAGTTTCAAGAATATCTAGATCACATTACAGTTAATAAGTTTTGTTTTTCATTGATAAGATTAAGAGTGTCTTCTCACAGATTGCAAATAGAGGCAGGTAGATGGACTAGACCATTAAGAACACCAATTGATGAAAGAAAATGTACTATATGTAATATGTTAGAAGACGAATATCATTTTATTCTTGAATGTTCATTGTACACTGATTTAAGGAAAATATATATACATAAAAGATATTGGAAGCATCCAAACATGATTAAATTTATTGAATTGTTAACAATAGAAAATGTAAAAATTGTTAGGAAACTTGGAATTTATGTATCTAAAGCTTTTGAAAAACGAAATAATGTGTTGTACGGAAGTAATACATAATACAATTATTATTATTATTATTGAAATAATGTGTTGTACGGAAGTAATGCGTAGATACAATTATTATTATTATTTTTTTTTTCTCCAACTCTCGATGCATTTTAAGATTACATCCTTATTAAATGTTAAGTATTATTACTTTAATGAAAATATTAAAGTGAAATACTTATGAAATACTTACGATATCTCCTTAATATTGGTCTTGAATTTCGTCTCGTCAAGACCAATAGCTCGATATGGAGGTCGTTCTAGACATAATGACTGAGATCGGTTTAATGTATCAAATATAATTTATGAATACATGTATATCAATATGATCTGCGCATTACATCCGTAAGACTTATATGTATGTACATGTATATATATATATATATATATATATATATATATATATATATATATATATATATATATATATATATATATATAATATATATATATATATATATATATATATATATATATATATATATATATATATATATATATATATATATATATATATATATATATGCGCGTGAGTGTGTGTGTGTGTGTGTGTGTGTGTGTGTGTGTGTGTGTGTGTGTGTGTGTGTGTGTGTGTGTGTGTGTGTGTGTGTGTGTGTGTGTGTGCGAGCGTGAATGCGTGCGCGCGTGTGTGTGTATGTTCTTATGTTTGTAATATTCATGTTCGAACTTCTCCAATTATTGATGTTTATTTTACTTGTCATTGTTCGCCATTTATAACATGCTTGTAATGCCATCATGGGCATATTGCCTTATGGAATAAAAGAATAAACTACTAAACTACTAAACTACTATCATATGCTTACACCTTAAGTGATGGCTACATTCTGAGATTTCTTATATAATAATGTAACAGAAGGAAGCATTGAATTTAGAACGACATTTTAAAAATGATATTCGTCTTCAATGTCTCTACATAAATTGTTTTGTAAATCAACCATCTTCTAGTTTCTAATTTTCATCAGTTGATGATACTCGTTTTGAAGAAATTGTATGTCTAGCATAATATGGTTTTAACACTATTGATATATCATGGTGAATAGTAATATCTGTGATATTTATTTAAAATCATAAGGGTTAACCAAATTATCTCTCAATTCTAGTTTTACTCATGGACCTAAGATCATCTAATTGTAAATAATTTTGATAATATCTGACCTTTTTTGTCAACTCTCGGATGTAAACATACATGACAGGGGTGTCGCTGTCCGAGTGGTTACGGTATTTGAATTCAAACCACGTGCCCCTCACTATTGAGTGTTAGGATTCCACCAGAGACTTTGGTATAAAACAATTCGAAATAACTCAAATGTACTTCTACTTCTTTTTCTTGTTATTCCGAGTGTATTTTTTACATGAATGCATAATCATTACCCACCTCCCGATACCGTAAAATATATTTGGTTCTCGCCAATCGATGTCAATAATAATAACTCAGAATTTATGTTACGACAATGGAAAATATTAAATCTTTCATGCAAATATTTAATCATACTGCTTTTCATAACTAACAACACATGGTAAAATTGATGCATCAAAAGATTGTCTGCGAACTGTACACAGGTTTGTCATCAAAGTGCTAAGATAAAGTCTTTATTTTATCACTGAATACTCCTCGCGGTAAATACATTTAACTATGTTAAATGCCTAACGTTGTTTTGTCAGCATTAAGACTTTGCGCGAACAATGCCTAACTTTGCAGTATTTTGAAGCATTCAAAAAAACATTTTGGTTATTACCGAATCGTTTCAAATACCGTTAGAATTAAATTGTGGGGAACGATATTCATTTGGCTTTCACAGGTAACAGTATGATTCTGCTGCGAAAACTTACTTATAAAAATTTATATTCATTGTTGCACAAGCTGAACATAATGTACAAAACATTTAGAAAATTAATTATTATTTTATTTTATGGCATTTTTTCTATTTCTGAATTCAAAATTAATGGAACGAGCAATATTGCTATCTCTTTAAATAATTATGTCATATTTTCCTCTAATTAAAAGGCGAATATAGTACTTTAAGATGATAAAAAAGAAACATGTTAAATGCAACTATCCAAATGATAATTACTTCAAAACTGATAACAAAATGTTCGTCATTTGCATGCTTACGAGCTTGTGTGCATGTAACATAATTCCAGTCTGTTGTAATTAAGTTAATTCACGTTTGTAACATAATCGACACTCATGCTAATATAGCAAACTAACTTTCTGACGCCTAAGACAAACTATGAAATCTTTAACATTTGATAAAAAGTATCGATGTACACGATGCAGCTGCAAACATTTGAAAAAACATTTAATCATTTGTCATACGGGAATCAAATAACCAAATAAAACATAGCTTGATTAAAAAAAGTGCTAGAAAGGAAGCATGAAACCATTCTTAGTTTTGTTTTATGTTTGTTAAACTTTTTTCATTTGTAATACAAGAAAGTTGTAATTGGAATGGCTGAAAACCGAATTTATACAAAGATTATGCAGTTTACCTAGACCTAGCCTTCGGTTGTTGATCGTAACCTTAAAAGTGAACATTTTGTAATGTTTGAAATGTATTTTGTACGATAAACAATGTATGAGGAAAAAAACCGGTGAAATTTCCAACAATAGTATATACAAAAAAGAAAAGAGGAAAATTGGCAAAAAATTGTGTCTTTGTTTCGTGAATATGTACGAAACAAAATAAGAAAATTGTATTGCAGAAATGTCACTGCTAGTTTATATAGACTATGTGCTGATTCATAAGCTCCATGGTTATTTACATCAGCGTTAACAAGTTAACAACAAGTTTACCGTGAACAGAATATAACGAAATTATAAATTATGGTTTCAAACCCTAATTTATAATCATTTAGTTTTCTCCAGTCTGTTATCTGATAACTTCCCCGTTGTTGGAGGGCTTTACACGCTCGCTTAGGAAGCGAGGGGTCTGGAATTCAAATGCCAGTTAAGGCAACTCATGTTGTTGTGTTTTTTGTTGTTGTTGTTGTTTTTTGTTTGTTTTTTTGTTTTTTTTTAATTGTTTAAGCCAAATAAACATTGAATTAAATATCAGTGTTGTAATTAGTCTTTTAGCCAGTTTACTCATTGGTGGTTGGTGGCACTATACAAAAAAAATTGGTTTATAATCTCGCAACCTTCACCTTTCTGACATTCTGAGACGCAAACAAATTCAGCGTCTTCTGTGCTTTGATTTCTTTCCCAGTTGTTCGCTAGGTACTGGATCAAACATATAAATTCGCATTAATTCCGATTATAATCAACTATTTTCATTGTAAACGCATACATTAAACATTACATTTCGCGTATATTTTAGAATATAATTATGCATGCATGTTAATCGAAAGAGTAATTTATGCACTATTGCAACGCTATAATAAGGTTCGCTGCAAAATGTAGATCGTAATTATTACGTTCAAGTTAAAACCTACAATGATAAATGGATTAATTATAATTGGTATGTTTATCATTTCTTTATTAATTATAATCATTTACTTTTGACTGATATAAAGTTTATTATTACAATGTAATTGTTTTTGAATCAAAAAGAAAACACAAATAAACGCAAGTAATTTTAAATATGTTTTTGTTTTCATTTTATTAAGTTTTATCAAAAGGTATAAACCAATTTATACATATTTTGTGTTTAACATATCTTAATTAAATGATTCATTAAAAAAATTACAGTCAAATACCTAAAGTAATACATGTATATAATATCGCAGAATAATATATCATTTTACGGACACTAAATTTAGCAACGTTTACGTAGGCGTAAATTGATAAAATTGACCTGTCAAAAAAAATTAAGTTAATAACTGTACATTTGTGTAACATCATTTGATTGATTCGAATCTTTTGAATGATTGTAAACGACCTTAAACTTTTCAAAAAGATATTAATAAGTAATAGACGAAGTATTCCTCTTTGTTAAATTAACAATAAAATAGAGTTAATCTTCATTTAAAATGAACTGTCTGCATAATCCACATCCTAAATTCACACAGCCTTACTAAAATGTAAATTTTCTATTGCGCCTCAGGCGATAGATAGTATTACGTTATTTATATACATATACTGTTACAATGTATTGTCTATTTTCATGGTGTTTTTTTTCATATCAAGCGAAGCATTTTATAAAAAGGTTAAACTAAAGAAAATGCATGTTTTAGACACGAAGTATTGACAGTTTGACTAAATCAATACCATAAGGATATTTTTGTCTAGTATGACGTAAACTTGCATTTGTTATCAATTTTTATCTTATTACATGTGTTATCTTTTTGACAATAGATTTACTACTATTTTCTTCTGTCTTATTGCATGGGCTATCTTTTTTGACAAAACATTTACTACTATTGTTTTGTATCATTAACAATGTCTTATCACTCTTCTTATCGTTTTTTTTATTTTTCAGATATAAAATTATAGAGTGCCCTCGGAAAATATCAACATGACGTACAGCTCTGTTATAAAAGTCTACTCGTTATCATTGTCAACGAAGTTTGTAAAACTTTGTCTGAAAACGAATTGTCTTAGGCGTTTTTTACTCATTGGATCATTAACAATTGCCGTGTCATATGTTGGTTATTACTTGTTTTCAGATAGTATCATACAAGATATTAAAACAAGTAATTCTTTGTCACAAAATCATAGGCTGCATGTTTATCCGGGAAATATTGATAATGATCCATATATAAAATCCATGAGAGAAAAATTTCCTCTTAAAATGATATCATACTTATCAAAACTTATAAATGCAACTAATCCAAAGTATGCATTAACTATAAATAGTTCATACCTTATAGAGAATCCAAACTTGTGCAAACGTGCCCTTAACTTTTCAGTTCTAGTTATCGTCAATTCAGCAACAGACAACTTTGAAAGAAGACAAGCGATAAGAGCTACTTGGACTAATGATTCCTATTATCACCACTTAGGCAAGATTAAGGTTATGTTCCTGCTCGGTAAACCTCTGAACAGCATTATACAGGAAATGATAAAAAGAGAATCTGAAGCATATGCTGATATTTTACAAGGAGATTTTGTCGATACATACTTCAATCTAACACATAAAGGAGTCATGTCCTTCAAATGGATCCAAGAAAACTGCCGAAATCCAAAGCATATTCTCAAAGTTGATGATGACATTCTTGTAAATATGTTCCTATACTTTGAACATATTCAAAATACTCCGAAGGTTCGGCACGCTAACGTGTACTGTCACTACGGCACCAGTCCTGTTGTTAGAAAACAGTCAATCAAGTGGTATATAAGTGACAATCATTTTAGAGGTGTAAAATATTATCTCAACTTCTGTCGGGGCAAGTTTGTTAGTATGACAAATGACATTATTCCATCGTTATACCTGTCTGCTTCCAAAACACCTTTCTTCAAATTGGATGACGTACTTTTATATGGATATGTCATGCATAACATCCCGAGTTTGAAATACGAAACTCTTGCTTGGAATGAAATGCAGGAAGACAATGGAAATGCTATAAAATGCTTCGAAACATTAAAGGACAAATGCCAATTGGTAATAATGCAAGCGAGTGGAATACATGAAATGTCAGAAACTTGGTCTACAGTGCTAAAGTATTTCAAAAAGTAAAACGAATTTAATTCGTCTTCGATATCATTCATTATAAGAAAACGAAATGTTTAATCAGGTGTTGAGTGTTATACCCAACACAAAACCTTTATCATTTGTAGTTTTTTCTGTCAGGTTTATGTCATTTTTATTTTATGAAAAAAAAAAAACACAACGTTTTTATACGGGCTGGCATTCATTACCTTCTTTACCATAGAAAAATGATTGGTTATTATAAATGATGGTGTAATTCTAAATGTGTTCTATTTATATATGTTTATGAGTGTAAGAGAAATGAGTTAAGATTGACACATTTGAATAGCAATAATTTTGATTATATCAATTATACTACATTTGTAATATGTTGTACAGTTGATAATTATAGAACATATCAAACGCAAAATTATTCGACGAAACTTTTTGTTGTTCATTGAAAATATTAATATGTACCGTGTATGAAACTTGTATTTTCAGTTGTAATTATTCCATTCTTTTAATAATTAAATCGTTCTAAAGACAATATCTTAGCTTTATTTGTATATAACTTTTTAAGAAATACAAGTTTTGTAAGTGTTATATAACTTGAGAATGAAAAGTGTTGAGAATTGATCATGAGTACCGCTAAAGTCGGTGCTAGGGGGCGTGAGGGATGTTGCACGTATTCATTATCCTTACATACAGACTCAATCAACCGAGTCTGCAATTCTCTTGTAATTTTGTTGTGATTAATTTGTGCTGAAATAAGTGAACAAATAACAAAATATCAATAGTTATGTGTCAGACAATAATTTATAAAGAAGATGACAAACACCTCAGGCAATTATGAATAATTTTGACATTGCTAGACAAAATACATCAATTTTGAATAAGTTAATAAATTTGATTTCTACATGTTGTTTCTCTCGCTTGAAAAATGTTTTCGAGTTTCCGGAGATTCATTGCTTATATATAAACAAAGGTAGAATAGAGGTAACAAAATAACAATTTTATTATAAATAAAACCAGAAAAACACAATCATGTTGTTAAATTCGATATTTAATTGTGATATTAATATTTGACGCATATAACCTTTGTCAAGTTTGTCTTTAAAAATTACATTACATGTACTACATCACAACGTTATCTTAATTGATAACAATGCTAACTTTAATGGGCAGTTTCTACATTTACAATACGTAGTTAGACAATTAATGACAATTTATTGCCTTCTTATGACAGTGTCTGATCACAAATACAGTCAATGTAGTCACTAAGTGGAATACTTAATTATTTTAAAGTTATCTTCCAGCAGTGCCTGAAAATTTCGATGGTATGTGTTGGAATGATATTTAGTCATTTGACAGAACCTAATGTCGTTCAACATTTATACGAGTTAAATCTATAAATTTCAAATTTAGTATTATAGTCCGATTTTGTAAAGATTGTTAAAAATCTTTGTATACGAATCATTGTAACAATAACTATATTTATTTTATAAATTAATTATACTAACTTACCGTCTGCCATCAATGTTAGTTTACAATGAATATGCGACTAACAAATAAAATTTAGTTTTAATGCGGGAATTTTTATCGATGATCATTATTCTGAAAAAGTATATAGGTTTTATGTTCAACTCACAGTTATATCATTTTTTTTTAGTCATTTTAAAGTTATGACACATTATTTCATTTTAGAGTAAAAATGATCAGTTGGCAGCTTTATTTCGCAAAATATGCAGTGCATGCACTTATTAACACTAACATCTTTGTTTTATAAATGTCTGCACGTTCTGACTTAAAATAACTCATCAAACATATGTAGATATTTTACAACATACATACGAATAGCTTGTCTTACACCAGTTTAACTACAACAATGCAATTCAATGTCAATCAAAGAACATACATTAAACTTAATTACTTTTCTTAACGTTCAATTTTGTAACAATCGGTTTTATTTCAAAGCGCTTTAACTAAAACACATCAACGTTTACTTCATTGAACTGAACATGATATTTTATATTGATTTATGCTAAACATTTAGTCTGAGAAACCATAAAAATCTACATTGCTAAAAAGTATCACATTGAACAGCTTACATTGTCATTAAAGGGCAATAACATGTTTTTTCATTTTAAGTTGAACTGTACAGTACGATTTATCCGTAGTTTGATAAAAGGGGATTCTATTAATTTAAAACAGGTTAATGTAATTTTCTCCCTCATTACACAATATAAATGTATATGATTAATAATTCATAACTTCATGCCAATAGGTAAAATATATTTATATTAAGATATTTTGAACAATACAAGCCATGTATAGTATAAATAAAATATCTAGCAAGCAAATGTTATTTTAGATTAAGGCTTTAAACATATGAACGAGAAACATTTAAAAGTTAAGTTAGTGTACCATTATTGTCTTTATTATGTTTAGTTCAAAAAGGCATTGGGTTGATGGAACTGTCATACATATTTGATACTGTAAAGTGAAATATAACCATATCATAATGCTTTCAATGTACGTATCCTCAAGCATTTTTATATGAAACTAAATAAGTGATTTGATATTGGTCCTGTTATTTCTCCGAGGGCAGTCGTATTGTCCCAAAACCGAAGGCCGAGGTCCAATACGACTGACCCTCGGACAAATAACATGGCCAATATCAAATCACTTATTTATTGACAATTTAACTACATGTACTAATTATCATTCATATTTGATCCTCGGATATTTCTTCTTATTTTAATTCTAACATATTTTAATTATAACAAAGAACAACTGTAAAAATAACTACATTTTATCAGTTTGTTTGGAAAACCTACATTTTGTAACTTATATTGTACTTGTATAACAAAATGTCAGACTCTCTGGTAAATGTGTGTTTGTGTTTTCATGAAATCTACACGTTGTTAATTTATAACACAATCGGTTAAACACAATTAAATCATGACGTGAATGTTAAGACGCTGAGGATAGTTTGTTTCATTTAATGCAACCTGTCGGTGTCTACACATAGACCGAGGTAAAACAAATGGCTGCCATTTCCCAGATTCTTGCAGAAATCTATATCATTTTTTGGCCCTGCGTTATTAGCCAGTCAAATTACTTCAAATGCGGGCTTTATATCTATATCACTTTTCGGCCCGGGGCCGAAAAAGTGATATAGGTATTGGCACTGTATGTTTTAATAAGGCAGGCCATCGTGTTATTGAACTTGACAGGTGCTTTTTATAGGACTAATAACGTAAAGCTATTTAATAAATTATATATTAATAGGTTTGTGAGGGGAACAGTGTATGACTGTATATATGACTGTATAAGTGATTTACACAACCTCGTTAAACACTATATTAGGATATATCTGAAGACAAGTTCTTCATTAAAATACATAACTGTATGTGTATGACAATATATGAAAAGATTAAATTAATATAATTATAATACTTACAAATTAGTAATATATGTAATGTATGTGTAAATATGTTTCTATCTAGCATATAATGTAATAACTATTTCATATCTTAATTTATACACACGTACACATGTATAAGATGATCTACTTTCTTGACAAGTTGTCACAAGTGTTATGCAAATAGCAAGTAACATGATCTTGTCACAAAACCATGCCCTCGTTGGATTTAAATAAATCACAAACCCAAGGCACAATCCGCTAGGCTACTTTATGACTTTAGTATTGAAGTTTTTATAATGTAGGAGAAATTGAAAACAGAACCCTATTCTTCAAAATTTCAAATCAGATCACCATTCCACTTAAAATAAGCGATTATAACAACATCCGCAGAGTATTCATACACAGAGATAAAATGTATTTTATTGGCGTAAAAAGTAAACTTTTTTGTGCGAATCACCCTTTTACTTAAAGATTTTACCCCATACTGTCGTAAACTTTTATAATATTGGTAACGTGCGTTTCAGTTTTCTGACAATAATGTTGTTACATAAAAATGCAGTAAGTACTTAATATTATAAACATCATTGTTTTGTGGAATGTTATAGTTAATATGTACATTTGAGTGAAAAGATAAAAAAATGATCAATATAATCATAACTTTGCCATTTTAAACGACCACTTATTGTACTAATCCCAACCAATGTAGATGAAAAAAATAATAACTTATAAAATTCACATCTTACCGGCGGAACAATACAAGATCTATTTAAGCTTTGCTGTTTCAAAAGTCTTCTTGTCAAATAAACTTTTTTACATGCAGTTGTATGTTTACAGGGCGGGCAAGGGACTGTTTGTTTCTGATATTATTTGTGGTATGAAGACATCATTTTGCTAAGTTTGATTTCTTATTTTCAGATCAAGGGTTGATCAGTCCCTATTTATGTTTTATAAGCTACTGCAGTTACGCGCTCATATATTGATTCGAGATAAATGTGTGTTCATTCACAGCGATTTTCACGAAATTAAAACCATCCCTCGTATAAGTTGAGATAAAATATTGTTACATGGAAGTATCAAATGAAAATGTTTTGGTTTTTTTTTTTTTTTGGGTAATATAAACATGTTTACCCGGTTGATATGATTTCTTGTTAAAGACAACAAAACCCGTCTCAGCCTGCAACTTTTATTGTAAACAGACAATTATGGTAAAATAAACAAAAATGGTTAAAATACGGAAGAAAAAAAATGAACATATACATGACATATTTCTACAAACAAACCAAACCATCAGGTCAATGGAATGATTTTTAATTCCTTGTCTACAATAGTTCTAAAATATAACTTTTACTACTTAATCTATAGGTCGTAGTGCAGGCCCAGACGGTATTATAAACGAATTCTTAGTCTATGGAAAGGATATCTTAGCTTTACATATTTTGAAATTATTTAATAAAATTCTTGATAAAGGTTATTTTCCAACCTCATGGAGTGAAGGATATATCATCCCTATACATAAAAAGGGTAGTCTAGATAATGCCTCAAATTTTAGAGGAATTACTCTTTTAAGTGTCGTTGGAAAATTATTTACAAGTATTATTAACAAACGACTTACTTTATGGGCTGAAAATTACTATATATATGTTGAAGCTCAAGCAGGTTTTAGAGCGAAAATGGGGACTGTTGATAATATTTTTGTTCTTAACAGTCTTATTAATCATGTTCTTAATCAAAATAAGAAATTATTTTGTGTCTTTGTTGATTTTTCGAAAGCGTTTGACTACTTAGTAAGACCGAATATATGGTATAAATTATTCAAATTGGGTGTAAGGGGTAAGTTATTTAATATTATTCAATCAATGTATGCACACGTACGTTCAAGAGTAAAATTATATGGTGAGACAGGTTCTATTTTTGATAGTTATCTGGGAGTAAGACAAGGTGAATCTTTGAGTCCTTTTCTGTTTGCCATGTATTTAAACGATTTAGAAGAAGAATTGTTCATTAAGGGTGCAGAGGGTGTAG